AGAGAGAGAGAGAGAGAGAGAGAGAGAGAGAGAGAGAGAGAGAGAGAGAGAGAGAGAGAGAGACTGTGAACATCGGTCCATGGAAGCTTTTAGCACTCTTGGGGAGATGGCTAGCTTGACTACAATAGAACAGGGTGAAGACGGTTGTCCAATATTGAAGTACTTAGTATTCTGCCGCCGAGATAGCATTTCAGACTGTGCTGGCCACAACCCCAGTTGTCGATCGACACATTGGCCTGGAATGTATATTAGAAGTACACACTTCTTGTTCTCCGCTCTGGCTTCTTCTTGTTCGCAGCTATGGCTCTGGAGTCTGAACTACTACTCTCACATATGGAAAAAGCAATGGCGAGGAGAGAAGACTTTCTCCTCCTACCGCACTCGCATCCTCTTCCTGCAATCTTCCATCCATACTGGAGCATAGAAGACCCCATCCATGCATACATGGCGTAGTTCAAAGTGGTTGCTTGACGTATTGTGATTGGTCGACGTATACCAGCAGCCAGTGCCATTGGCCCATTGTCATTGACCTGCATGCATATTACCTGTGACCGACAGTGGACGGTGAGCGCCCGTCCGTGCTCTCCCCTCTCCCAAACACCAAATGTTGTGACTGACCTGGTGATCAGTTGGTTTCTGCATACACACAAGACACTGACCTGGGGAGTACTTGACACTGACCTGCAAAATGACCTGCCACTGCCAGTAGATTGCGTGTCAGTAGCTGGCGAATGCCAGTCTGGCCACTGACCGCTAAAAAGCTCGTTGCTGTCCTGATGATAGGTTGGTTGGCTTACAAAAATCCACTGCCACTGAGCAGTAGGCAAATGACCTGCAAATTAAACCACCAATATTTCAGCAAAGTGCGTCGGTTAACAAGTGGGCCAACGCTTGGATGTACCGTCCTGCCTCCGCCTAGTTAAATTCATTCACAGTCACTGAAGAACCGTCAGCGGTGCACAGAAGGGTTCCAGTTCCTGCCGGTTCCTTCCGGTTCAATTGCCGCTGCCAGCAAACACTCACCAGTTTTGTTGACGAGCACTTGTCGTTTACGGGCAAGCACTCCTCAGTGACACCTGATGTTTGGGCAGTCAGCGTCTGGGTAAGTGATCAACAGCGAAGACTTATCAATCACCTGCCACATTTCTTGTCAGAAGACTTCTTGCGCGTGTCATACTTCTCACACTCGTCATCCTTCTCGCACTTGTGAGACTTCTTGCACTTGTCAGAGGTACTGACATGTGCCAGTCAGATCTCTTGCAAATTACACTTGTCAGTCACTGACAAAAACTTGTCAGTGACCTGCCAGATATCATGTCAGATTGTTGCCTGCCACCGCTGACAAACACTTGTCAGCCACAGGCAAGAACTTGTCACTCAAAGGCAAACACTTGCCTGCCAGACAAAGAAGGCGAACGCTCATCCGTGACCTGCTTTCTTTCGGTTGATTGGCGGACAATCTACTGTCAGCAGACGCTCGTCAGTGACCTGCAAATTACCTGCCACTTGCAGTAAGTATACTAGCAGTAACTACAGCCAATGTTAGTTGGTAACCGGTCATAACCTGGTGGTTGGTTCATCAGGTTACTCTCATCTCAGCAAGCACTTGTTAGTGACCTGCAAATTACCTGCCACCATGTGCAAACAATCGTCTTGTGAGTCATGAGTCAATAAACTATTAAACATGCATTGCTCCGTGACTCGCGTGACGCTCGTCATTGCCCTCACATCATTGCACCCCCCACTTTCTACCATAACTGTGTCCCCTAACCTCTTCATGCTCATGGTCCTGCTTATCCAACAACTCTCAAAAACCTCTTGTCCCTTTGAGGCAGTAGGATTGCAAGTCGTCAGCGTACAAATTTAGGGGCAGCGCAATTGAGTGTCATTACTGCCGTAGTTAAAAGAGATATGCAGGGAGCAACAAAACTCTACAAAGACAGAATTGCCTGACCACTAGCAAGTAGATACTACCAACTTAGCAGCAGAAGACTATATACAAGCTATAAAATACACGTTCAATAGCGCCAATACAACCAACCTCCGCTAACTATGCTTCAAACCTGGCTATTGTGAGTGCTGGACAAAAGGGAAAGGAATGGAGATAATTCACCAGAGAGATCTGACACCCTATCTTTTTTTGCCGGTTAGCGAACATTCTAGAATATACACATTCAATAGCGCTGATACAACCAACCTACGCTAACTATGGTTCAAACCTGCCTATTGTGCGTGCTGGACCAAAGGGAAAGGACAGGACATAATCCACCGGAGATCTGAGACCCTCTCCTTTGCCGATTAGCGAAACAGCTTACCATTCTAGAATACTACGCTACAAGCTACTCAACGAAAAGCGATCATCCACTAGAGACCCGACACCCTTTTTTTGGGGGGGGCGATTACGGAAACAACTTGCTATTCTAGAAGACTATGCTATACATGCTACTCAACGAAAGGTGATAATCCACAACAGATCTGACCCTGTCTTTTGCTGATTAGGGAAACAACTTGCCTTTCTAGAAGAGTACGCTACAAGCTATTCAACGCTTCAGGAAGAGTTCAAACCTATACCAGATCTAAACAATTTACTAGATGATGGTGTAATAACCCTATCTTTTGCCAAATAGGGAAAAAAGATTAAAAAAAACACTTAGTTATTTAGTGCAGAAAACTAGCAGCTACTAGTCATTTCACCAACAACTTTCCCGAGCACTAAGAATGCCGTTGATGTCAGCTCCAACATGCCTGGTAAATATCTCTGATCAGCCAGTTCGCATCGTTTAACGAACGTTCCCGAGGAACTAAAAATGCCATCGATGTCTGCTCCAACATGCCATTGATGATGACAAATATCTCTGACGAGTCAGTTGTCTCGAATCGAAAGAGTCGCAAAAAACTATGCCAGGTAAACAGTTGCGCCGTCCTGTACATCAGTGTGTCATCTCTTAGTTAACGTACCGATAACCTTCTGTGTTAGCTATCGGTCAAATCCGTATTGAGTTAAATCAAGAGTTAAATCAAGACAAGATGAATCACGAATGCGCTAAAATACCTCAGTGCCATAATGCCATTAGTGTTAGTTAGGTCGACTACGACGAAATAGTTACTTGAACTTACTTCTATTAGATCAGAGATGTTTTCTACAGTTCGTTTCTTTAGTCGTTCTGTCACCTCTATACCTTGATTCTCATAATACAACTTCTCCACTTGGATTCGAAACCACCACCACCACGATAACAACAGCGCTTCAAAGTCTGTCGCCGCTGCTACCTGGCCAGCCTGACAGCCAGCCTGCAGGAATGTCGACATCCACGTGCCTTTCTTCTTCTTCTTCTTCTTCTTTTTTTCCTTTTTTGTCCACGTGCCTTTGGATTCACTAGTCGCTCTCTCCCCTTCGTATCAGGAAATGCAATTCACTAATATCTATCTCATTCTATGTCATGGTATTCACGTAGTTCCTCTGGATTCAAACTCAGGTCTATATTTCGACAGTTTGTGGGTGTAGCTAGGCCCGCTCACATCTATCTCCTTTCCATCCTGTCATGTCGTTCACTGCTAATGAAAACCGGAATGATTCAGAGCATACTCACACTAGCACTTTTCTAAATGAATCTGACTGGAATCACGTCCACACCAGGATGCATCTGACCATAATACCATCTAGAGCTGAGTTGGAAGCCTGTCAGCAAGCACTCAGCAGGCTGAAACGACGGAGAGCCGCAGACTGGTGTGGCAGTCGGACCCTTAGCCATTGACGAGGCTTAGTTAGTCTGAAAGACTCTGAACTTCTGAATAGATAAAAAAAAAAAAAAGGCTATAGCCTATCGGTCAATTGATTGCTTACATCTCTGCTATTGGTCAGACATCAGCCTGACCAATAGCCAAAAGCCAATAGTCATTGTCAATTGCAGACACAACTATTGACAATGGCTATTGGTCAGACATCAGCTTGACCAATAGCCATTGTCAATTTTTTGCAGACATGACTATTGACAATGGCTATTTGTCAGGCATCAGCCTGACAAATAGCCAAAAGCCAATTGCCATTGTCAATTACAGACATGCCTATTGACATTGACAATGGCTATTGGTCAGACATTAGGCTGACTAATAGCCAAAAGCCAATATCCATTGTCGATTGTAGACATGACTATTGACAATGGCTATTGGTTAGTCAATGGTCATCCACCTTAAGAACAAACCCGCCAATGGCAATTAGTCTTAGAATATAGCCGGCACTAAGCATTAGTCACACGACAACATAGACGACAACAACTATGGGTAAGTGAAAAAAGTTCAAAAAAACGATGATGACCCACCAGAGACGACGAAGCCATCCTGCCACAGGACAGAAGGTGTCCCCCATGCCTCTTCTTTCAAGCAGGCCTCCAGGGCACATATTTGCTTCTCCTCATGTTGCTCCTCCTTGATCTTGATCTTGATCTACGTCACTCATGCCAGAAGTCACGGGTTCAACTCTTGTAGTTTCCCCAGAAGGTATGGTTGAGTGGCTGAAGGTATATTACTCTGCTTTGATGCCTGCCCCCTTTTCTTTCCCCTTCCCGGGCGCTTTCTGCTTCAAGGGGTCCCTCAAGGTTCCCATAATCCAGTCCATCACGATCGTATAGTGGCCATAGTTGTGCTTGTAAGTGGTATGGTGTATGGTATGGTACCCTGCTCCCATAACTGGCCAAACATTGCCATGAATGCAGTCGTGGATGTTCGTTGCCCAAACGCCCGAGAAGAACAAAGCGAGCTCGTGCGTCATAGCATGAATAGGCAATATGAACAGAGCTAGGACATATGGCGAAGCTTGTGCTATTCCATCAAAGGGGTTGAAAGCCAGTCCTGCATCCAAAAAGAACGGGCGGGGGGGGCGAACAAAGAAATAGTTGTAGTCCTGTGAATAACATGGTCTGTGCTCAGCAATAGAAAGAGAGCATCTTCGCAAAACAAGCATGCTTTAGAAAGTGAGCGGCATGTTGTACTGGTCCGGTAGCTCAATGGTAAACACATCCAGCTGTTAATTAAAAAAAAAAAAAAAAAAACCAGGTCAAGAGTTCAAATCCTGATGGATGCAAAGACATGTCAGGGGCTACTACTCCACTCTTGGGGGGGGGGGAAGAGGGGGGCGTGCGCGGAAACTCTCAATCGTCTTAAGTTGGGGCCACTGGGCCAGTCCCCTTTTCCCTTTTGTTTCACGGAGGGAGGGAATAGTGATGAGGTCCCGTTTGCAATTGTCAGATGATGATTAAATCTTTTTTTTATAAACAAAAGCCTGTGTTAAACTCCGGACCGTCCGGTGGCCTGGCCTTCATCCGGCAGGGGTCCCAGACGGCCCAGCCGGTTGGGTCCCCCGGTTTGGGGCCAAGCGAGCCCAGCACAATTTTTGCGCGGGGGGGAGGCCTTTTTCGGCTACTGGTCAGCTCCCCAGCCTCCAGCAACACCAGGTTTTTTTTTTTTTTTGAATCTACGAGCACTTTGAGGGGGGGGGGGGGGGAGGTCTTCTTCGGCAACTGATCCCAGCCACTGATCTGCAAGGATCGGTGGCTGAGATCAGCCGCCAAGAAATCGTTTCCCCCTCTGGCGGGCTACCACACCACGTTTGAATTTGAACGCGGTGTTCCCTGTTGCGAAGCCCGTCGTCGCTGCTGTCACGAAGCCGCCCATCGTTGCGGCCATCACAAAGCCGCCCGTCGTTGCGGCCGTCGCGAAGCCTGCCCGTCGTCGCTGCCGTCGCGAAGCCCGCCCATCATTGCTGCTGCTCCTCGTCGAGCTGCCCATCGATGTCTTCGTCAAGCTGCCCCGTCGAGAAGCCCTCCCCGTCGTCTCTGCCCGTGAAGCTGCTGTCACCTTCGTGGTGAAGCCTCTTCCACCTTTTTCCTTCCTTCCTCTTCTTCTTCTTCCTCTCCTCCTCTTCCTCCTTTCGTATTCTTCTCCTCCTCCTCCTCCTCCTCCTCCTCCTTTCCTCCTCTTCTCCTCCTCCTCCTCCTCGACCTCCTTCGTCGTCTTTTTTCTTTCTTTTTCCCGTCATCCACATACACTACCGGCAGGTCGTCCTCCTCCTGCTCCTCCTCCTCCTCCTCTCATCTTCTTCTTCTTGTCTCCTCCTCCTCCTCCTCCACCTACTTATTCTTCTCCTTCTCTCCTCCTCCTCCTCCACCTACTTATTATTCTCCTTCTCGCCTCCTCCTCCTCCACCTACTTATTATTCTCCTTCTCTCCTCCTCCTCCTCCTCCTCGACCTCCTTCATCATCGTCTTTTTTTTTTGTCATCCACATCCAATACCGGCAGGTCCTCCTCCTCCTGCTCCTCTTCCTCCTCCTCTCGTCTTCTTCTTCGTCTCTCCTCCTCCTCCTCCTCTTGTCTTCTTCTTCTTCTCTCCTCCTCCTCGACCTCCTTCATCGTCATCTTTTTTTTTCCGTCATCCACATACACTACCGGCAGGTCCTCCTCCTCCTCCTCCTCTCGTCTTCTTCTTCTTCTCTCCTCCTCCTCTTCCTCCTCCTTTCGTCTTGTCCTTCTCTCCTCCTCCTCCTCCTCCTCTCGTCTTCTTCTTCTTCTCTCCACCTCCTCCGCCTACTTATTCTTCTCCTTCTCTCCTCCTCCTCCTCCTCCTCCTCGACCTCCTTTGTCGTCGTCCTTTTTTTCTTTTTTTGTCATCCACATACACGACCGGCAGGTGCTCCTCCTCCTCCTCCTGCTCCTCCTCCTCCTGCTCCTCCTCCTCCTCCTGCTCCTCCTCCTCCTCCTCTCTTCTTCTTCTTCTTCTCTCCTCCTCCTTCTCCTCCTCCTTTCGTCTTGTCCTTCTCTCCTCCTCCTTTTCCTCCTCTCGTCTTCTTCTTCTTCTCTCCTCCTCCTCCACCTACTTATTCTTATCTCCTCCTCCTCCTCCTCCTCGACCTCCTTCATCGTCTTTTTTTTTTTTTTTTCGCCATCCACATACACTACCGGCAGGTCCTCCTTCTCCTCCTCTTCCTCTCGCCTTCTTCTTCTCTACTCCTTTCGTCTTGTCCTTCTCTCCTCCTCCTCCTCCTCCTCCTTCCGTCTTGTCCTTCTCTCCTTTTCCTCCTCCTCTCGTCTTCTTCTTCTTCTCTCCTCCTCTGCCTACTTATTCTGCTCCTCTCCTCCTCCTCCTCCTCCTCCTCGACCTCCTTCATCATTCTTTTTTTTTATCGGTCATCCACATACACTACCAGTAGGTCCTCCTCCACCTCCTGCTCCTCCTCCTCCGCCTCCTCCTCCTTTCGCCGTGCCCTTCTCTCGTCCTCGTCGTCCTCCTCCTTTCGTCTCCTCCTCCTCCTCCATTTGTTTGTTCGCTATTCAAGTCTTTTTTTCCTCCTCCTTTCCTCTCCTCCTTCTTCCTCTCCTCCTTCTTCCCCTCCTCCTCCCCCTCCTCTCGTCTTCTTTTTCTTCATCACCTCCTCCTCCTCCTCCTCTTTCTGTCATCTTCTTCTTCTTTCTCCTTTCTTGATCTTCTTTTTTTTCTTCCTCCTCCTTGTTCTTTCCTCCTCCTCCTCCTCCTCCTCTTCCTCCTCTTCCTCCTCTTCCTCCTCCTCCTCCTTTCGTCTGTTTCGTTTCTCAAGTTCCTCCTCTCCTCCTCCTTCCCTCCTCCTCTTTGTCTTCCTCCTCCTCCTCCTCGTCTTCTTCTTCCCTCCTCGTCCTCCTCCATATCTTACCACCCACCATCTAGCATATCCGCGTTTTTTATAGTGGTTCCGTGTTTATCGTACTGGCTGCTATCTCCGGTTCACATTTTTTTCCCCTGCCAGTACAATAACTCGGTTCGCACACCCGTTTTTCGCATTTTTTTATAGTGACGGAGTTCAGTCCGCGATAATTTATACATAGACGAAGTTCACCTTCCTTTTTGGGCACGAATAACATTGGTGCACCATAAGGAGATGAGCTAGTGCAAATGCATCCTTTGTTAGTAAGTTCTTGCAGTTGCTTCCGCAATTCCTCAAGTTCCCTAAGAGACATTCGGTAGATGGGACCCTTGGGAATCTTGCTTCCGGGAATGATCTTGATTGTGTGCTTAATAGCACGCTCAGTGATCCCCATTGGCTCAGTCTGCAAGTCCTTATACTCGTCGAGAAGTTTATCGATAGAAGGTGGATAGGATGAGGAACACTCACCGACTCGTTTGACAAGCACCATCATCACCTCTTGATCCAACTTCTTCTCAACTACCATCGAACGAAAAGTTGGGTAACTCATACAGCAGAAAGACAGAGTAGAGTCAGAGTCAGACTTATGATATAACTTTATTGCTCGGGTTTCAGACTTTTCGTCCTTGAGTTTGACAATTTTATCTTTAAACTTAACTTCTGGGTCGGCTTCCTCATGCTAATCCATGTCAGAATCATGTCAAAGGGATACTTCGTGTAAGATCTTCTTTCCTTCCTTTGTCCTGAAATAACACTTGACATGATCGACGCATTGAGAGATAGTGATCGTGCTCTAGTCAGCCAGTATGGACGTGATAGGTCGAGGTAAGTCTTTTACCTTCATTCCCAGATGCAATTTGCGAATTGCCTTCTCTGAGATATAAGACCGCGTCGATCCTGGATCTAACAGTGCACCAACTTGTGTGTGCGCAATCTCAATTTCCACGATCATTAACTCACCCTTAGACTTAATTTTCTTCGCCCACGAACTCCAGAGTGCTACGAGTTCATTGCCGAGCTCGTCAAGGAAGCATCCAGTGAGACAAAAAATAGTACAGTGTCAGGGTGTTCTGAACGACGGGCGGAAGAAGAGTCATCCCCTGCCTTGAGAGTCGAAAGGGTAGAAGGGATTGTAGGCGCCTTCCCTTTGTCTTCGTTTAAACCCTTAAGACTCAGTAGGAGCAGATGCTACTCCTACTGGCTGCTCGCTTTTGGGTTCTTGATAAGTGGGCACCAGACTATCACATGACCCACGGTGCCACACTTGAGGCATTGGCGATTGTCCATTTTGGACAGCCACTCCTCTCGTGTCATGTTCATTTTCTCCCAAGACTTCTCGAACGCAATGCCGGGATGCTCGGAAAACGCGCATGGCCTCCTCTTCTTCTTATATTGACTTTGGCCTCCCTTGTTGACCATCATGGCAATGACATCACCCTTCCCAGATTCACTGCCGCCGTTACCTCCTCCCTCAGACTCGTCGAGGGGTAACTTCTCTATGGTATCATCGTCAAACACAACAAGCATATGGTCCTGGCGCTTTTGTCGCCAAAGGACCCGATTCCCATACCCACCAACCGATCCTGACTTCACTACCGAAGCGTACGTACCTTTGACCTGTGCGGTAATCTGTTCTCTTTGGAGAGCAAGATCGCGAAACTGCCGATAGTTGTACTTCCCAGACTTGGCTTCTGCCACGAGCTGTCTGCGAATAGGCTCGAGCAATGCACGTGAGTATATGTACATGACCTGGTTGTCCTGTAAGTTCAACCCAGGTAGCTGCAAAAGAGGATCAACCTCACGAGACAGTGCATCAACTGAAGACCAACGCTTTTGCCCGATTGTGGTGAGTTCGTCAAAGGCCTTGTCGGTCATCGTTTTGTCGAGAAATCTCTACTTAATCTTTTGGAGAAATTGTCTCAGCGTCAGGGTCTTAGCCCACTCACCTATATCTTCGAAGCCAGCGGCATTGGCCTCGAACAATACCCACTCCTTAGCAACTCCCCCCAGACACGACGTGGAGAAGGCTACCTGACTCTCAGGCTAAACTGGAGTGGTGCTACAGTAAGTCTGGATTTCGGCAATCCATAACAAGAAGTTTTCATCTCCGGAACTCTTCAATCTTTCTTCTTTCTTCCCTTAATGTATTTTCCAATTGCCTGACATTGTCCTCCATTACTTCCACAAACAGTTGTGGTTCTACTTTCTTTCCTTTCTCCTCTTAGTTCCTCTTCTTCCTTTCCTGTTCTATTCTATCAAAGCCTTCGGCAGCATACCGATCAAGGGCTATTTGTCCTTGTTTTATGAGGTCCTCGACCTTCTTACTGGTTTCCATCATTTGAATAGCTGTTTCTGCAGCTTTCAGTTCACCTTCTACAGCGCGCAGGTTGAACTGGCTGTAAAACCAGCTTTTCAATATCGGAACCGGCGCCGTGTATCTCGCCGAGAAACTGGTGGAGAAGGCCGATCAAAGTTTGCCTTCTCGCTGCAATCTGACCTCAGGTCTTTAGTTCTCTACCTTCTTCATCAGCGTAGACCATGAGAGGGATAGGGAAGAAAAGAAGAGGAATGAACTGCGTCAAAATGGAGGCAAGCAGGCATTTCCAGAGATAATTCATTTTCCGAACGTATATCTACCGCACAACAAATAAATAAAGAAGACGAAAATAAATTTTGCGACTCACGCAACTTTTACAGCAAGAACAATTAAGAAGAAATGCGTTCTCAATTTAATTTCTATATTCTAGTCTTTGTTGTCTGTTCTTTTATGATGACGTCCTACAACAATGGTCAGGTACAGCAGCCACGGCCAATGTGATCAAGACAACAACACACTCGTGAGTACACAGCAACCACAGAGCAAACAACAGGTAAGTAGTCAGCCAACACAACAACACAATCAATGGTTAGCTTTCAACCTCTCCAGCTGTACCATTTGCAGAAGCGATGCAATCAATACCATACCCTCAACAGCATGCCACGTGCCACCCCTGGAATGCCAACACAGCAGCTCGAAAGAGTCTGCCACATCGGCACGTCAAGGACCTGATAGGTCTACAAGGGGGGGATGCCACGTCAGCAATGCATGCATGCAACACACAGCACTGGCATGCCACGTCAGCACAACGCATCAACAGCAGGTGCTCGCAACACAAATATGTGCCTAGCCTGCCACAAACCACATCATGCCACATAAGCAATGCGCCACATAAGCAATGCGCCACATCTGCAATCCCGATCTCTCTCTTGACTAGCGCCACGTCAGCCTGTTGCTAACGAAGCTCTCGTCGGTATCTTGAAGTCTTCAATGCAGCCACATCATCATCTTCAAGGGACAGCTGCTCATACGTGCAATACTACAATGTCTAGACTTGCAGTATTTACCGCGCGCGTTAATAAACACGTTTCGTTTTGCACATGCGGCACCTCCCACTTACCTGGTTGCCACGTCAGCACCTGACAGCAGACAGCAGATTGCGATGAAAGAGTTCGCTCCGATACCAAATTGTAATGAACCCAGTCTGACAGATACTCATCAGTCGTCAAGCACCAGTGGTCTCGGTATCTGCAGCAAAGTCAACAATTATTGTGAAGTGATATCTGAAACAGTACCTCATTACCATTCGACGAAGAGAGTGGAGGGGGATTAGACAGCGGAGAAAGTGGAAGAGATTATCAAAGATCACACAAGAGTAATCCCATCAAACCCCACTCCTTCTCCAGGCTTCTTCCCTCTCCACGTCGACAACCAGTATATGATAACAAGTATAATAAGCCTGATCACACAGTAGTGCCACGTGACACTCTTATCTCGTAAAGACCATGCAGACACGGCAGATTACAGTGACGACGTCGACCTCAGGTGAGTACCCGATCCCAATCATCCACAGATCTCGATCTCCCTCCTCCTCACAACCAGTCACCTCATGTAGACAGCATGGACAATGCCACGTCAGCAGTCGAGACAGGTGGCATGCGCCACATCATCAATGAAGACCAGTGGCACGCGGCACATCAGCAATGTAGACTAGTGGCAAGTGCCTCATCAGCGCAATGTAGTCCCGAGGCAGCGCCACATCAATATGCAATGTAGACCAGAAGCAGTGCCGCATCAGCATGCAATGTAGACCAGAGGCAGCGCCACATCAGCATGCAATGTAGACAGATGGCAGCGCCATATCAGCAATGTAGACAAGTGGCCTGCGCCACGTCAGCCTTGAAGACAGGTGGCAGCACCACATCAGCAATGCCTGGTGCACAATGCAGAACGCCCCAGCATGCTGTCACAGTCCGTGTCGTCGTCCACAGTGCCTGCGCTCAGCCAGCGTCAAGCCAGCGTCGTGCCAGCATCAATGCCAGCGTCTGGTCAAAGTCAAGCCAGCGTTCAAGCAGCATAGCAAGACTGAATGTTGACCACCTCGAAGCCAGCCTTTAAGTAGCATTTGACGAGGCTGTCTAGCCTCGGTTCCCTTCCCCACAGTCATCCAGATTGAATCACAGCCGAGAGTCTAGATTGGGTACAGTTGCAGACTTCCCTTTGGACCTGATGCTGTTTGGGTACCTGCATACAAACAAGTGTGTGTGCCTGACCAGCGGCCTGGGCTGAATACCTTTGGACTTTGACTGTTGGTGTCACGACAGTTGTCCAGGCCCTGATTCCTCGTGTGGGGTTCTTTTCCCCCATTATGACCTGGGCTGAGGGCGGCCAGGTAGGCCCTCAGATATTCCACGAGACATATGGCATGGGTTACTGCAAAAAGGGCGGCTCAAATCTTGGAGCGACGAACTGACAAGGAGATAGCAAAGATCCCATGGTTTCCTTGCGCTGCGCATTGCTGCAGCCTTTCTTTTACATGACCTGGTTGTTATAGAGGCAGACTTGGAAGATCCCCTGTGACTTGGAACAAAACCATCTTTTGCATTACTCTTGTACAAACTTGGGCCCTGGTTTCTCCAAATTCCACCTGGTGTCTTTTCTGTGCAACTTCGCTTGTGATTGTCTTTTTTCTTCTTTTTTTGTTTGCTAAAAAGAATCCTGTGTTTCTTTATCACTAAAAAAAAAAAGAACTGTATGGTCCCGTATTCATTCTATTCTAAGGAGCATCAGCCTGGCAGCCTGGCAACCCAGTTTCTTTCCCCTGACACAAAAGACAAGCGACTGGTAGCATCCAGTCGGTTATTGCCATGGCTACGATCCGGACGTCCGGACCGCCGTCCAGACAGTCTGGATTCAGTCCGGACTCCAGACGTCCGGTCCGGGAGGTCCGGATCTGCCAAATTTCAACCAAAAAAAAAGGTCCCAGGACCCTTCCCCACCGAGGAGCTGAGCCCCCAAATTCTTTTTTGGGGGTTTTCAGGCCCGTTTTTGTTTTTTTGGGGGGGAGGTCCGAATCTGCCAAATTTTGAAAAAAAGAAAAGAAAAAAAAAGGAGGTCCCGGGACCCTTCCCCACTGAGGAACCAAGCCCCCAAAATTGTTTTTGGGGTTTTTCAGGCCCGTTTTTGTTTTTTGGGGGGGTTCGGACGTGGTCTATCTCTATAATAATTTATTAGACATGCCCATTTTTTCAATTATTAATTTTATAGTTTTTTACTTTTAACTCAAGTTTGATTAGGAATTCGGACTTGACTCTGAGGCAAAAGTGGTTTGTATTGTTATTCTGCATAACATAATTTTTTTTCAGATTTTTTTTTTTTTTTTTAATGGTCCATACATTTCCGGACCTACTTACCAGTCCGGACCGTCCGGAACCATACATGTCCAGAAGTCCAGACGTCCAATCCCCAGACGTGAACTGTCCGGGTCCGGTAGCCATGGTTATTGCCAGTGTTTGTAGGGTACACTACCTTTTTTTCCTTCTTTTTTTTTTCTTTTTTGTAAGGTACACTGTCAGGGCCCATGTCCCACTTGCAGGAGTACTACCTCCTTTCCCGAATACAACGTATACGGTCATTATAGCTGTATTTAGGCTGAAAGATACCCCAAGTACAGCTATAATGACTGTATACGTTGTATCCGGGGGAAGACTGTAGACTAGAATTAGCACATTCTGCACTGTGCGACAGTTAATGGAGCCATCGATTCCACGTCTCTCTCTTTCTCCCTTCCTCCTCCTCTTTCCCCTTCTCTTCTCCTCCTGTCAGGGGCCATGCCTCACTTGCAGGAGTACTACCAAAAGTTAGACTAGACTTAGAAAACTCTGCTCTGTGTGACATTTTATAGATAAAGGTAGACTAGAATTAGAAAACTCTGCTCTGTGTGACAGTTTATAGATAGAGCCATTGGTTCCATTTTTCTTTCTTTCTCCCTTTCCTTCCCCTCTCTCTCCTCGTCTTCTTCTCCTCTCTTCCCCTCCCCTCTTCTCTTTCCTCTCCTCTCCTCTCCCCATCTCATCTTCTGCCCTTTCCGTCAAGAAAACTATTCGATTTCTGAAGGTAATACAAACCACAGACTGAACAAAACGGCATCGCTCCATTGGTGGACACTTTTCGGAATTACATCCGTGCCGCCATTGGCTGGTTTTCGATTCTTGCATGGTGTGTGTGTGTGTTGTGGGGGGGAGGGTGTATATACAAGACACCAAGGAACCGAAACCCCTCGGACATGGAGCAGTCGTGCAGAACGGAAGGTTCATTCTGTGAAGAGCGAAATGAAGCGGCCAGCATTTGTGTCGTCAGAGGCCGAATGGTGGGCTGTGCCCATAAGTGCAGAGCGTGCATGTCAGGCGACAGCGCAGCCAAAAAGTGCAGATTGTATGCGGTTTGGACGTCGTTTCTTTTTTTCCATGACTACCTCCTCCTTGCATTCCCGGTTTTTCGGTTCCACCCACATAACCGCCCACGCTGCCCACCAGGTCCAGACTCTAGAAACAGAACCACGCCCCCGCTACCGTCTTCGCCCGAATAGAATGCCCGGTCATTATAGCTGTATTTGGCACAACTTTCGGTCCAGATGCAGCCATACTGACCGGGCGTTCTATTTGGGTGAAGACCGTAATGGTGGGACATGGCCAGACACAAAGCATAAAAATTGTTTCGCAGCAAAGGGGGTGTGAACTACTATGAAGTCGATACTGCAAACGAAGGTCAGACACAAAGTATACATTGTTTTGCAGAATGAAGAGAAGAAGATGGGGGGGGGGGGGGGCTCCGATCTGTTTGTTACCTGCAAATGGCGACAACGTGTTTTGCTTGTTGTAGATATGGTGAGTAGCGTGTAGGTAGACGTACAAAAACTTGACGTCGTGAAGAATCCTGTGCACCCAGTACACGGCAAATTCAATCACAAGGAAGTAGAGGACAAGCAGCAGGAAATACGTCGGCCATCCCACTTCGTTGATGCTATGATAAGACTTTGTCCATCCCTGTTCAATCATGTACTCTGACAATGTCGGCAGCGCGGAGTAGATCGGCATCGACACGATCGACACACGGATCTGCTTGAGCATGTCCTCTGTCCGGGGAACGCCGCCGTCCGGGAAGTAGACGTGTCCTCGCACAACATACACGTACCAGGACCACAGCCCCGACAAAATGAAGTACATTGCTGTTCCCGATAACAAGTTTCGCATCCAAGACTGCAGCGGGTGGGGAATGCATTGCAGTGTCTTTTGCGGAATGAATGGAGACAGGATCCAGCGATTGTGCTTGGCGTTCATCTGGACAAATATAGCTAAGTACTCCGGACTTCCGTACGGCGGTAGCGGTGTTTTCGACTTGAGAGACGCCGATACGGCCTCCGATTCCGACGCCGATCGTGCGCTGCTGCTAATCACAGAGTCGACAGTTACTCCTGCTCGCTCGATCGCAACTTTCCCATGGCCATCAACATCACCATGGCCTTGGGAGAGAGAACCATTCTCTTTCGCAGACAGCAGACCGCTACTGGTCACCTTTGGCTCTGAAAGCGCAACAACCGCATACTTATTCATGTCACATAGGTACCCGATGACAGCCATCAAAATCAACACCAGTGCCAACGAGGTGTGGACTGGGATGCACACCCTTCCAGGGACGTTCCTTCTCCGTGAACCTCCATGCCTCGAGGAGGGAGAGGATGGAGACACCGACGGCGTTGACTTCTGCTCTGCCATGTCTCTTTTTTTCTCAAACACTTCGATCACACGAGGGGGAAGCAACTTGCAAATTGATAACTAGCTGGATATCTTCAAATATGCTGAAATATCCAATTACTTTTTTTTCTTTTTTTCTTTTCCAAAATATCCAATTACTTGGGTGGATCCAAGTAATTATTTACTGTTTAGTATTTAGATATTATCCAAAACAGCAGATAATTGCCTCGATCCAAGATTCCAAATAGTCAATTAATTTAGTTCTGATAAGATTGCAAACTGAGTAGTAGCACTTTCATCATGATCCCAGAGAGCCAAAATAGACAAGACTACCCCCCTCTTCAGATGAATGTGTCATCAATTGACGATGAAGTAACTCTCATGCAACTCTCAAGTAACTCTCAAGTAACTCTCAAGTAACTCTCAAGTAACTCTCAAGTATAGTAACTCTGAATTAACTCTAAATTAACTCTGAATTAACTCTGAATTAACTCTGAAGTAACTCTGAATTAACTAACTCTGAAGTAACTCTGCTCTGAGGTGAGGTAACTCTGAAGTAACTCTGATAGTAACTCTAAAGTAACTCTTGGAATAACTCTGAAGTAATTCTGAAGCACCTCTGAAGTAACTCTGAAGTATCTGAGGTAACTGTGAAGTAACAGTGAAGTAACTCTGACGAAGTTTAAGAAGTCCACTGCCGTGAATCACAGTTTGTGGAGCTGCACAAGTAGATAACACCAGCGATTCAGAGGTCAGAAACTGAGTAGTAGGACTGTCATCATGATCCCAGAGAGCCAGGCATAATAGACAAGACAACCCCTCTTTAGATGAAGGTGCTGATGAAGTAACTCTGAAGTAACTGTGACGTAACTCCAAATTACACTTTGTGAAGCTGCACAACTAGATAATAACACCAGCGATTCAGAGGTCAGAATATGAATGGCTGGTGTTCACCATGTAGTTAACGGTGGTGAGATCGAAACCTTACAACATCGCCATCATGCATGTACTTTCAAACAAAGCTCAAAGAATCTAGTCTTCTTTATACAGTCAACATCAGTACACTTTGGTTAATCGCGTGGATGTATAAAAAAAGAACTACTTTAAGACATAGTATGAATGACAAAGTCAGCAGCCCAAATGAATGACAACTCAGCAGAGACAGCAATAGTGCCGTACGACCAGACAATGAGAAGAAGTCGAGCCAAGTAGCAGCGCAATAGCAAGGGGGTGTTTTGGCAGATAGATAATATGCGCTTGACTGATAGTAAATCGTTCCTGAGGGAAGCAATCGATGCTCTCAGGGTTCCCTGAGCCTTAATGGGGGGAAGAGTTGAGAGTGGGTGATATTCTTATGTCCAGGGATGCTGGACCCGGTTCCCAAGCAGGTGGCGATCCCCACCAATGGCAAGGAGCCCCCTTTTAGGAGAACCAAAACAAGAGAGAGAGAGAGAGAGAGAGAGAGAGAGAGAGAGAGAGAGAGAGAGAGAGAGAGAGAGAGAGAGAGAGAGAGAGAGAGAGAGAGAGATTTGCAATATTGGACAACACGTGCGAGGCTTTACTTTCACAGAATACACGTCCTGTCCATGGCATGCGACAAAAAACGTCGCGATTACCCTTCTACCTCTCTGCTCAGGTAATCATTTCAGCCATTATCAACAGTATATATACCCTATGGTCCAAGTACTTCCTCGTTCAGCTGAACCCTATTCCCTGCAGTCTCCTCTCATCGTCCTGTCATCGTCACGACGTTGAAGTCCCACAGTTCAGATGCATCCGAAGTTCCTCTTTAGTCGAAACACTGTTCTCCGAAAAATCCACTGCGTTCTTCTGTCTCTGTAGCAAACTCGTCGTTGTTGTTGATGTGGTCATGTTCTGTCGAAAGGTTCATTCTCAAAAAAAATGTTCTGCGAATATAAATCAATAAATAGATTTATTGAATTTCTTCAGAAATGTTTTTGTTACCCATGTATTTCGTGATAAAATTTACACAAGTTAGGGATTCGGAATTTATAAAACTAAAAAAATTGAATTTTCGTTATATTCCCTGAATTACCCTGGTAGTTTTCTTGAATTCCGTCTTCATTCGTGAATTATATATGAAGCCTTGGATTTCAGAATTAGGGTTTTCTTGTATTCCGAGTGTTGTATCGGTTTAACTTCTGAGTTGGAAGAACGATTTGTTTCGTGTCTTGGAGATTCGTCATTTTTAGGTACCCTTGTATTCCGTAAATCACAAAAATTACAAAAATTGGGATTCGGAATTCACAAAATTGTGTCGTTTATCACAAAAATTACAAAAATTGGGATTCGGAATTCACAAAACTGTGTCGTTATATCTCCTGAATTACCTCATAAGTTTCTTGAATTCCATCTCCGTTCGTGAATTATTTGTTTATGAATCTTTGGTTTTCGGAATTTGGGTTTTCTCGTCTTCCGAGTGTTGTATCGTTTTAACTTCCGAGTCTGAAGAACGATTTGTTTCATGTTTCGGAGAACCCTGTATTAGATTCAGATTGTTTTTTATGTTCTTATATTCATACCTTACGGAAAATTGTGTTTGGCCCAATCACTTAGATTCCGACGAAGACTTTGCACGATTTCCTTGATATCTGAGGAGAGGTACCTGTTATCATATCTGTACACCAGCCTTGGGTACTTCGGTTGTTTTTCTCCTTTATATGTTTTTTATCCGAGGGAGCGTTCTGCTGTTTCATCTTTTTCTGCTTGTTTTTGTGTTGTCTTCCTTGTCTTGTCTTTCAACGCGTTCTTGTTTGTCCAGAAATTCTCAGAAAATACGTCGAACCGTTCTGTCTGTACAGTTCCTGATGAAGGCCAGAATCGCCGAACGTGTTGTCTTCCAGGGGTATTCCAACAGTTTAAGTTCAGTCCAATATAATTCAAGTACGGCGGACAAGTCATTCATGTCGTATGTGTTGATTACCATTCTGAGGAAAGAGCCGATGATTGTCAGTACTTTTGTATTCACGGAACCAACACAACACTCCTGAAATGACGGATAGACCGAAGAGAGAGAGAGAGAGAGAGAGAGAG